CCCCTCTTACCTGTCAAGTTGACAGGTAACAGAGTCGAGTATAGGCCTGCGCTTGATATATTTTAAACATTTCTGAAAAGAAGAAAATAGATGGTGTTTTTATCGAACATTAAGAGTTTGTGTTTTAATAAATTTCCTGAGTACGACGAGTATTTAGACAGGGATAATTATATTAGGTAGTGGTTGCTCGGTAAAGTTTTAACATTACGGTTGAATTTTGACCTTAATATAGTACAAAACACTTCTCCTATACTTTTAAGACTCTTTCATTCAGTAAACAAAAATGTCGATAGCATGGTAGTGGGAGTTGTATTTTTGAGAGTAGTATGTTTATACTTTCTTTATTAATTTAATGTATTTTTAAACATTACCTATATTAGCATTCTGCTCTTATTGTGAAGCGTAAAAAACTTATTTATGCCAAATTACATGCTCGTCCGTCGCAATTTCCGTGAAAAAGTGCATAGTTTTTCCTACACATATTAATTTTAAACAAAATAAGCGTTTAATTTGCAATTGCTAAAACTAAGCAACTTTATCAGTGGTCTGTAATTTAATGGGTGTCGAAAAATTTTTGCACATGTATTTAAGATAAGAAGATTTGCAAATGTTATAGCACTACTAAGGTAAATGAAAACTAAGTATGTATATATTTATTAATTAATCGAAGATCATTATAACACTAGTAATCTGTCATCAACACGAATCCTGCAAATGGAAGTTATGGGGAAAATCACTGCTACTCTCGCTATTTCATCAACGAAAAGAGAAGTCTATTAATATGCTGCCATACTAAACTGAAACTCCAAAGTTTTGTAGTACATTATTGCTTAAAAAGCAGTCTCTTGTTCTTATTCTCAACTTATGATGAAAAATGAATAACTAATAAGGAACCTTTTGGGGTGGAAGCGGGATTAATATTGAAAGTATATACTAACTAATATTGTAAAGAGTTTCTAACTATGTTTGTTTGTAGGGGTTAATCTTCTGATATACTGATCTGATAGTGAAAATTCTTTTCACTTACGGGTAGCATAAAAAATAGGCTATGATTTACGCCGTTGAAGTAGAAGGTTATATATATAGGAACAGTTAGTTATAAATAAATCGATAGCCTATGTTGAATCTGTTCAAGATTATAACTTATTGTTTTATCTCTAAAATTATTATTGTTACACAATAAAATCAATGATCTATTCAAATCTAGGGCCAACTAGAGAGATATAATTACAGTTCATCTAGTGCTTTTCAAACATTCTAGGCAAAAGGCAAAAGTATGCGACATGGCAATGAAGTAACTGTTTGTTTTGGAAACAGTCCTATTTTAGGAATGACTCCTGGATGGTCTTACTACGATATCTTTACCGAGATGCAACTGTAATGGTAAGAGTGAGATGATGATATTCACTTGTATATCTTTATCTCGCTGTAACGTTTTTAATCACATGTAAGAGTTCATGGTAAGGCCCCTTATGACGGAAATAACTCATTCTGAAGCATTCTGTTATTATTTCTGTACAGAGTTCAATAGCAGGGCTTAATGATTTGGTCGTTTATCTATCTCGGAAAGAAAGACATTTGCTTCTTTGTTCTTTTGATAAAGTTCATCATTACAACATTATTGTTTAATGGCATTAATTATTGACATGTAAGTCTTTGTTTCTAGTCTTTGTATAATATTTAATGAAGTCTCTAATGCTTTTTTTCAATTTAGGAAATGGGCCCAGGGAAAAGTAAAAACATAGTTCTTATCGTATCAAATTTATGTATTTGAATGATGAATATCAGAACATCACTATACAATAATCGAATAAATCAACGATTAATCGATTTGAATATAGCAACGTTCAACATTACTAAAAGGAGTCTTGAATAGACTCGTTTCTATGATTTGAAGAGGGTAATTAAATTGACTATAAAAAATAGTTATTGAAAACTAACGAAAAGAATGGTCACTTTGTATCTAGCACAATTATTACTTTGACTTTACTATATGGTAATAGAGGATAAAAAAAGTAACGCCGAAATAAAGACTAAAAAGTTAGGTTCAATAATTGTATGCCAGGAGTTGAAAATAAATGATTTTGCTAAGGCAGATATGGGGTATATTTAAACCTCAATACGCTAAGATCATCAACTTAGTGCATTGAGGATGAAATATATGAGAATAGTCCATTTTTTACATTGACCCTACCGAGAATCGTATCCGGAACCTCAGAGATGGTGATACATTGACACCGGCATGTGAGCTACACTGGCACGGAGGTTATCTGCTACGGAACTTTTATATTTTCCCAGAAAAATTACATATGTGACACAACTTCTTAAACGAATGAACATTTAAGAATTTGTGTAAAATATCTAAAAATATACACATTTTTGTACGTTACAAAATGCGTATATTTCAGTTCCATGAATAACTGCCATGGAATACCAAAATTTGAATGTTGAATTATTATTTATTATTAAATAGTGATACTAATCATGTGATCGTGTTACCCATTATCTGCTTGTTTCTTTACATAGAAGGTGTATATATTCGTCACCAAAATCGAGTTTATTTACCGGTCTACCGAGGCCAAATGAACTGAAACCCAAGAGATACGGCCAAGACTAATTTTCAATTAAAACTTCATCAAACTTAAGCTACGAACAAACCTTCGACGCTTGGTCTAAGTTAAAAGCAACAGTGAGAAAACCTTGACAGCCGTGTACTATCTTAGTTCTAATTTAATTTAGAACCAGCTGTTTTCCCGCGACTTTGCTTGTGTAAATTACATCCTATGACATCCGTTTATGATGTAGCTTACTGTAGGTGATCGAAAATCCACAAACAGATTAATATTTCCTAAGATTTCTCCTACAAACAAACAAATTTAGAGACTTTACCTCTTTATAATATTTAGTTTGATATCTTCGGTGGGGTGCTAAGGTGAATGGCATCTTTAGCCAGACTAGAAAATGGTGATCCCGCTTGTTAAAAAACGGTGAGTTCCTGTAGCTAATACCTTGTTTAGTATGGGCAAAATCGCCGTGAATTCAGACCGGGCTTAAGAATGAGCGTAATATTCGCGGCGCCACGACGCTTCTTTCATGCGGCCCTTTTTTAAACCGGTTACTACGACATTACATAAATTACATGGACAAATGTTATTTGAATAATAAGCACAACATGTGTATATTATATCATTCTAGAACTACCTATATACAATGTTCTAAACATATAAACAATTTGAATTAACACATCACACACGCCCTTTTCGTCCATCAACGATAATAAATTAAATTCCACCTTTTTAGTCCAATGCAAAGTTCTCTCTCGTCATTAACTTAGACCAAACATAGATAAGATCTTTGCTGAGGCAACTAAAATTGCAGGTAACTTACAAAGATAGATACTGTGGTGGTTGGTGGATATTTACTTATCTACCAGCGTAGAACCATTAGCGGCAGGTGCTTGGTTACCTCTAAAGTTCTGATATTGCATAATTTTATAACAGTGTTTAAATATTACGAGGTTTTTCATCTTCAACAATCAATAAATCAACGAAGTGATGCCTACTTCAATCTTAAAGCCGCAATAAACAATCCCTGCTTCTTTAATAGCACAATACCCTCAGAAAAATGAACAAGATCAATCATTATAACCTATTTTCTCCCTGTTTTATAGTAAAGTGAAAAAAATTATACTGAGAATTCCTCATGTCGGAAACAACTTGCGTTTAGCCCTCAACTGCCCGCTGATCCCCTGAGTGCGTAGAATCCAAATAATACCAGTTTCATTCAACGTCAATATCTCTCAAAACTTACCTATTTATTTGACCGTAAACATTTCAACCTTCATCACATGAAAGTCCACTTAAGACCCTTGCCTTTTAATTTCTTGCTTTGAAAACAAAATACAGTCTGGCGTTCTCAAGATTTTCCGCTTCAAGAGTATATAGAGCTGTACTCTAAGCATAAAAAGTAATTGAATGTTAATCGAATAGGTATCGATTTTCGTATTTGATATTTTAGTCAATTTAGAGACTTTGATAATATGTTTGATATGAATACGTTTCGTGGGAGGCTAGTTACAGTTTATATCTTTTTTAGCTGAGCTGAAAGAAGCCTTAATGAAACTACAGCTAATTTGCAAATCTAATAGCGCTTATTAGTTTTAGCCAATTAATTTTTTGAGAGATGCAATGTTATAGTATTAATCTTTATATTTCATTAACACCAAATAAATTTAATAGGTACTTTCCAGCTTAGATTATATACAATCTTTTACTTCTAATCATGACTCAATTATTATAAGAATAAAGAAAAATACTTGTGATTCTGTATCATATTAATCGAATAACTGTACACTATAGTTTTAAGAGTTACGTCAGACACATGTGCGTTGGATGCATCCAAAGAATCCAGATGGTTATGGCGTGTGACGTCAGGAGTGGACGAAGCAAAATTGGATTCTTATCCGATTCCCGATAGGACACGTCGCGTCACAAGCAGTGTGCTCTGTGCAGGGTTGCCATTAGGAATCTCGCTTTGAGAAATGCGTTTGTGCACTTTTGTATTTAAGCTAGGGTGATGTTACGTTTTAACCATCTTTTTCAGATAGTTGTAATAGTATAGATTAATACTTACCGTGAGAGGAAATGTTTGAAATAATCATAAACATTTAATATTATCAAATTGTACTGCTCTGTTTTAGCAATATATATTTTTTTTTGGAAACTGTAGAGCATTTATTTCGTCACTCCGTTTATTTTATATAATTTGCGATTATGTAGAATGAAATGTATCTGTTTTTAGTAGTCGTACGAACCAATTAAACTAAGTTTTCGGAATGCTAAGTTATCACGGCAATATAAACCGAACATTCATTTTTTTCTAGAGCTTTTAAATAAAATATAGTTAGATTGACATCTTATTACATCTCCCTTCAAAGAAGAGTTTCACCATTCAAAAACGTCCTCAATTTGTTTGCTATAATTAAGGTATGTTATCCACAGCGCGAGGGAGCGGCGCGCAGCGATGCTGAACGCGAGCGGCGCGCGCGCGGCGACTGGGAGGCGCGAGCGCGCGCTGCCGAGGCGGACGCGGCGCGGCTCGCCGGCAAGCTGCATGCGGCACAGCGAGAGATATCCAGGTACTTTCTTTTACAAATTTTTGGTCTTGTTGCGATTTTATATCTAACTATCAACCAACTAGTGATGCGACTCGAGTAGGATTTTGTAACTCGAGAAAATTAACCACCTCACTCGAGTCACACTCGAGATTTCGAGTTTCGAGATATAAGAAACGGCAGTAAGTAGTCAAGTAAACGGCATAGATAAATAAATTAGAGTAGCGAAGTGACACCTAGTGGCAAGAGAATCAATTTGATACGCCGAGTTAACTCTATAACTCGAGTGCATAGAGACTCGAGTGATATTTTTTTCACTCGAGTACGAGTTTGAAAAATTAATTAGAGTGGCTCGAGTAAAAGCATGATTCGAGTCGCATCACTACAACCAACCTCTTCGCTAGCCCTTTAGATAAGTTTAAATAATAAATGAAGGTCTACTTCGAACAAAATGATGTTATTGATTTCATATTGTTTTCTTATATTAATTATCAGTTCTGTCTCATTGAAGTCATAGATATATAGAACCTCATAGAATCATTCGTTTTATTAATTACTATAGCTGTGAAATTATGTTATTTAACAACATCTCCAACAAAACAGTCAGTATCTGCAAGATGTGCTTAAACCTCAGAGTAGAGGTAAAGCGATAGACCTTTGTATTTGGGTGGATCCCTCAGCTATTACAATAGACCAAGCATGATTATTCGCTCGATGGCTTAGTGGTGATCAAGATGTATTATCTCAAGCTCCTCCGTGCTTAGAAATGTACGTTAAGCCGTTGGTTCCGTCTGCATATGCAGTGGTGAAGCCGCACAAGTGGTGGGTCAAGGTCCATTCTCTCTAATCAATTCCACAGTTGGGGAAGACTGAGCCCTAGTAGAGATATTATAGGCTGACGATGATAAGCGCGATTATTCGGGTCAAATTTGTTTTATCGATTTCTTGTGTTTTGCGGATCCGAGAGCACTCGAAATTCCTATTCATCATCCTCTTGCCAACGGAAAAACATAATTTGCCATTTGAGATAACCAAAAAGATCCAACTCGATTTACTTTTGTTCATGTTCCACGAGATCCAAACCGCAGTAGGTAGTTAAAGTATTGCCTTTTGCACACAGACAGCGAGCTCGAATATATTAGGTTCGTTAACGCGACCAGCCAGCCGGTAACGATCGCAGTAATAAGCAGAATCGGCGACTTTTGCGGTGTAAGCTGGAGTTGCAAAACTATCGATAAAATATATTTGCTACTTTTTCTGCAAAACTAACAAAGTCACATCATATACATAAAATAATGTTATATAGTGTATACGACTGTGGTATACGACTACGCTGTCTGAAATGTGCTATTAAGCTACCCTACACGGAATGATTGAATAATATTTTTTTTAGTTTCTTACTTTATGCTCTCTAGAGGGCGATGTTGCCAATTTAATATAACGTCACATAGCCTATAATACGCGGACAACTAAGACGCTTCTAATGATACATCATCTGTCCAGTTACTATGAGTAGTTTCGAAGTTATAAAGGAACATATGAACATTCTTACATACATACATATCGGCCAAAATCATAACCCTTCTTTTCGCTTCGCCGTAGTGAGGTAAAATTCAAATAATACTTATTGTTCTAGTCCCAGATCTCATATCATATCATCATTTTCGTTCATACTTTACACAATTTTTCTATAAAATTTATATATCTTTTCATTTCTTATCTTCTTTCTTATATTTATAATAGCTACAAATATGCCAGATGATTCATGATTCTAACTTCGCTGACTATAGTTTATTGACATTGCGTATTGACGTATTATCGGTTTAGAGTAAACGAATTATTTTCTGATAAAGATAATTATGTTTGAAAATGCAAGATATCTCGCAACGCTTGCTCATTCTCGGCTGCTGATTTGAGTCTGGTTAGAACGCAGCAAAATAATATCCAGCTTAATGAAATGTTTCAAATACCACTTGCTGTAACAACACTAGTTTTGATTCGATAATTAAGATATTTTAATTTTGGAATACCGCATCAATATTGCATTGAGAACGGCTTGTTACAGAATAATGAGCCATTAAAATACGAGTCACTGTTGAATTCATTCCAGATAATTCTTTAGGCACGATTGGAATTATTTTTATTATATTATCTTGCTTATGGATGCAATTCAGTGCCGAGATTTCCACATACACTTTCTGTATTTCATTTTAATCTGTCTTATCATTTATGAGTATATGTTTTTAATGCAGTAGCTTATGAATTCTTCATTTTGAATAAAGACATTCTAAATTCAAATCTGGAGCGAAGAGATTCAGAACTCGATATCAGCTACTCAGTTAGGTAATTAAGCAAGTTCGAGTTCGATTTTGAATTTACGATTCCGTAATCGAGCCGGTGTCATTCGATGGCGATAAGCGCCCGTCCGATTGGTCGATGGGCCGTAACTTCGAAATACGAACTTCGGGATTTACGTCAGAAGACCGTTATGGATTTGACCCAATTTGCTAGGGTCCGGAGCGATTGCGATTGGATTTTTTTCGGTTATTTGCACCGCCTATGGACGGAAGGTGCTCTAGTGATTGATATTAGGCGTCGAATACTTCATTGTCTCCAATTCGTTTCTGCTTTCGGATGAAAATTGATTTTCAAAATGGAACTTCCGAATGCAAATTGACTCGTTCCATTTTCTATTTCCTTAGATTTTGGCCAGTGTATTTCATTTCTTATATTATTACATTACATAAATCGTATTTCTCAACAGGCATTAAAATACTCTACACTTATGTTAGTTACTAAGGAAAAGCGTTACATTCTCAAAAATATAGTCGAGCGAATCGATGACTGCTATCTGAGCGAGTGTTGCCAGTCGGTATGAGTGGAGAAGAGGTGAGTTTTTCTTTTTAACACATTGTAAATTAATTTGTCTATGAGAAGCTATAGCTTCACTGGTCTTGTTTTGGAGCTCTAGTTGTTCAGTTGGAAGAAATACGTCTAGGAACTGGTTAGTTGGAGTACAGTCTGGTAAAACTGGCGCATAAATTAAAACTTTGGAAAATAGACTTAATTAAAAGAAGCTTAAAATTTATACTTCTTTGAAAAGTAATATTAGAGAAAAAATTTTAAATATACAAATACCAAAAAAAATAATAATGTCGAATGCAGCACCATAAAGATGGTATATAACCAGCGAACCGTGGCGATCCAAATGGATTCGGTGTCAATCACAAAATCGTGCGGTGGGAACGGACGCATCTGTCGCACGGGACCTGCAAATTAGGGTTCCCTGGATAATTCAATATTAAATGTTACTTTAAACTATTATCCATCTTTGTTAAACAAGAAATAATAAAAAGGAGGTAATTTTTGGAAGCGATAAACTGTTGGATGAATGCTGGTGAATTAGCAAAAATATAGCTTTCTAAAGTCATTGAAAATTGTGTACCTACGCGATCTTTTTATATATATTTCATTGGTATTCTTCTTCTCTCGATTGGTAATTGCATCTGAATAGAATCTCAACTATTTGCATTTTACCATTGTATTATTTAGCTCAAGTACAATATTATTTGTGAAATATCATCCTCACAAATCAATGGTGAAAGATATATTTATTATTTAGTGATCTAGTTACAAGAACTGTGTTATAAGGGTTGTAGTATAAGTGCGATTGGCTTCCCATAATTACGTAAACATTGGCAGAATAAAAACATTAGAAGACGTACAGGCATGAACCGCGTAGACCGACGCATGGTCTGTCCCTGCCTGTACATGTATTTTGGCGTCTGTACGTTTGTGGTTATGTTTCTATAGATTTACTAGCTTTTGCCCGGGTAAAGTTACTTTGAGCAGCATTTATAACGAATATTAATTCATTATATCGTGTAAAATACCTGAAATAAAATTTCATCCCCTATTTTATCCCCTTAGGGGTGAAATTTATCAAAATCCTTTCTTAGGATGCCTACGTCATAGTAGCTTTATGCATGCAAAGTCTCAGCACGATCGGTTTAAAATTGAAAAAGTTTAATTCAAACTTCATCCCCTATTTTATCCCCTTAGAGGTAGAATTGATCAACATCTATCTGCATGCCAAATTTAAGCCCGATCCGTCTAGTAGTTTGGGCTGTGCGTTGATAGATCACTATGTCAGTCACCTTTGAGCACTATATATTATTTTGCCAGTAGCTAGATATATAAACGAACCTTCAAACTTTGTTAGTAACCAGTCATCAATCTCGAGTGATCAGGAACTCGGTCTGCGATTGTTTTTAAGCAACTTTCACAAGGGCCGGTCATAGGATGGGTGATCAAAAATTTATTACCTTGAGCTCCTCCGTGCTTCGGAAGCCACCTAAAGTATTGGTCCCGGCTGCATCTGCAGTAGGTTATAGCTCATTCCCCCATTTCTTTCGACTCAATTCCATCCATAGGGAAGACCTGAGCCCCAGCGGTAGGGACATAATAGGCTGGCGATGATGATAATGTCTCGCCAATCCACATTGGGCCCGCGTAGTGGGTTACCGTACCCATAAACAAGGCCGGTACTTTAGAATTAAAAGGCTGATATGATAAATCGGAAGATATTACGCTATATGAATGAATGAATGAATTAAAATAGCTTAACTTATTTTACGGAACCTAGAGAAAATCAGCCACGGTCACTGTTGCCCGCTGGTATATGAAGTTATCTAGCAAGAGACGGACGTGTAACAAATTCGATTCGTCAAAATATTTTTCGGGGCAAGATAAGAGGATTATTGCGGTCTTGAACCTTTCAAACTGTTAACTAAAATGTGTTTGTTTTTGTTTTATGAAAGTGCATAAAGCTTCCTTATTTACGGACCTCTTTAATCGGATTAAGTAGAAATTACGAGTATATTGTTTAGTTAAGCCATTTAAATAAAGTATTTGTTTTCAATTCGACCGATTTTTTTTATATGTATGTTCTTCGTAATGGTTCTTCTTTTTAATAATAAAATAATAATACATTTATCCAATTTTTAAAATAAAATCCATTCAAA